CATCTTAAGACCAAAGTATATAATCAATGCGTACTCCCTGTTCTTACTTATGGTTCCCAAACGTGGATATCTACAAAAGCAAACATGGACAAAATCATAAAAACCCAAAGTGCAATGGAAAGACAAATGTTGCACATAAGACTAATGGATAAGAAGAGAAACGAGTGGATAAGAGAGAAAACAAAAGTGAGGGATGTTAGACAAGAAGTTGCAAAATTGAAATGGAGATTTGCCGGACACAATATAAGACAAAAAGAAGACCGATGGAACAAAATTCTTATAAGTTGGAGACCGTGGGAATATAAACGAAGCAGAGGAAGGCCCCAATTGAGATGGGCAGATGATATCAAGAAGCACGTGGGCTCCAGATGGATGACTGTAGCGACAGACAGAGAAGAATGGAAAAGGATTGGGGAGGCCTATGTCCAAAGATGGACCGAAGAAGGCTAATTAGATAGATTGTACTAATTTAGATATAATTGTTTAAGTAAGATTAGTATTATCTATATGGTCCCATTGGACAATAATTTCCCAACAGAAAGAGGAAAACTCATATATAGAAACATAATGAATAAGTTATCCGTCGGAAAGCACAAGTAAGAAGAAAGGTATAGGATCACGGATAGAAAATATCTTAATACCAGAGAAATATAATTTAACTATAATTCAAGGAGGACGAATATTAGTTCAACCTATTTCTGTAGAAAAGTTGAGATTACAGCAAGAATTTAACAAAATAGTCTGATATTTTTCGTAAAATAAACCATTCATTTGTGGTCATTTTGTTATATGTTTTCAGAAAATCATTGACCTTCTTTAAATTATTCCAAATTAACTGTTCTTTCTTTATGGTGTTGAAAGACAAGGTCATATTTTTCAAATACTACAATTAATTACTACGAATCAGGTTTTGTCGCTATTAGTTTTTCAGTTTTATTGATTTTTAATAATTTTTATATAGTTTAACGGTTTAGTGAACCGATTAAGAGTCGATGTGTAGCATGAGGTCAACGAAACCACAGAAAATTGTTTTTTTTTTCATTAAACAAGTTTAATAAAAGTATTTTATTGCTTTTAAATTTGACCACAAGATACATTTATAATTTTGGGGACATACCTACAGCTTTAAAAGTTTAGGTCACAGTTCTTCTTTTTGTAGGATTTATTCAAATTTGCCATAAAATATTTTCTGTAAACGTTCTTATTGTTATTAAATTGTATCTGGCTTAACTTATTTTCAAAACTGACTATTCAAACTCATCAAAACAAAACTGCTATTCAATTGGTCATTGAGTTGCTGTGTATTCTTACCATACTGCTTAGTTAGGAAGAAATGCCTTCAGTCCAAAAATATTAAATATTGAGTTATATATGTTTTCAATAATATAATTTCCATAATTTAATGGGCTACTCAAAATTGTCGTAGCTCCAACAGTAAATACGATATAAAATATTTTTTGCAGTAAGTTCGTCAAAAGTATCATAGTAAGTAAAACTGCCGAAAGCATAATAGACTAAGCAAGAATGCAGTAATTATTTTAGACATACTACGTTTATGCTTAGTACACAGGATTTACTGAAGTCTTGCTTAGTGGTTGTTTAAACAGCTGATGTTCATACTGCATTGATATTTACGTTTACTGTAAATTGTGAGGTTGTTTGTAGCATTACTTACTTTACTTAATCAGTAGACCCATTTGAACCTTTCGGTGTTGGGCCGTTTATAATACAATTCATTAAATTACAATATTTTACAATCTTCTAAGGTGTCCTAGTTCTTAACGAATTTTCTTCATTCCTTCCTATTGGATGCCATCTGTGTTGCTTCCTGTCAAGTCTTATCCTTAATCTGCAGTATCTGCGAGATGTCACTGTTCCATTCTTTATTGGGCCTTCCTCTTCTGTTCTTCCCTATTGGTTTGGCGTCCCACACTCTTTTTACTTGTCTATTATTGTCCATCCGGGTTAGATGTCCAATGCCAAACCATGCCAAATTTTTCTCCTTGATTGAGTCGAGTATCGGTTTAATTTTAAGTCTTTCTCTTATTTCTTCATTTTTGATTCTATCTCTGCTGCCTGAATTCTGTTCTGATGTCTTTTGTTAAATATCCAATTTTCTGCTCCATCTGCACCATCACTGTAGATCTATATATTGTTTTGTATATTGTCATCTTGGTCTTTGTTGATATTTCTTTGTTATTAAGGAATCCTCTATTTAGTGCTTGGAATAGTTTTCCTGTGTTTCCCATTCTGTTGTTAAGATAGCTCTCGATGTCTTTTTTGTTGTTGATTACTGTTCCTAAGTATTTATATGAATTTGTCTGTATTAATTTTTGTTGGTCTGTCATTACTTCCACTTGATCTTCCATACCTTGTTTCCTTGATATTTTCATTATCTGAGCCTTCTCTTTGTTTACGTTTAAGTTGTATTTGCTTGCTGCTAGGTTCGATTTCTCTGAGTTGTATTTCAGTTTTTCTGCTGTTTGATAAACACATCTCAGCGTTTATCATTTGCATTCTGTTCCAACCGATGCAGTAGTTCTTTAACGTTTTCTTACATTCTTTCAATATCTCATCCATTACATTAATGAATAGCACTGGGCTGAAACTTCCCCCTTGTCTAACTCCTTGTTGTTTTAAATGGTTCTGACTGTATATTTAACATTCTTACTGTATTTGTTGTTTTCATGTATATACTCTTTGTTGCTTCTATCAGTTCTTCACTTACTTGCTTCTTCTTTAGGCTTTCCCATATATCTTTTCTTTTGACTGAGTCGAATGCTTTTTCCATGTCTATAAAGCTCAGATATATTTCCCATTTTTCTTTAAGGCCTTTTCTATTACTTGTTGCATGGTGAATATATGAACTGTTTTTGTGTGTTGTGTCCTTTCCTGAATCCACTTTGTACGTCGTCTAATTTATGTTCTATTTCTTTTCTGATTTTCCTTTCTATTATGATTTCGTATACTTTTGCTGCTACACACAGTAGTGTGTAGCAGCAAAATATAAATATATAAAATATATATATATATATATATATATATATATATATATATATATATATATATATATATATATAAATAAATATACCTTTATACTTCTTACAGTCTCTTGTGTTTCCTTTCTTGTATATAGTTATAAATACTGCATTGGTCCATTCTCTGGGTATTACTTTTCTCTTCCAGGTTATATATGTATAAAAATTTTTCTTTTGCTTGCACTCCTATATATTTCATCATTTCTGGTGCTACTTCATCGTTTCCTGGTGCTTTTCCAATCTTTATCTTTCTTATTGCTTCTTTCAGTTCTTCTTTTTCTATAGTTTCTGGATTTTCCGTGTTTCTCATGAATACTCTCTTGATGTGGCTTTCCTTCTCCATTGTATTCGCTTAATTTCCACTCAGTATAAGCTGGAAATGTTCTCTCCATCTTTCTATTATTGTCTTGTCCTCGTTTATTACTGTTCCTTCCTTGTTCAATATTTGTTTGTTTCATTTATTTCTTGCTTCTTAGGTTTTTCAGTGTTTTTCTGTGCTGTTTTCTTCCATTTTCTCCGATTTTTTCCCAACGTCTCTTTTTTATTTCTTATATATTTCTTTGACTTTTGTTCTTTGTCTTTTATAATTTTCATATTTTTGTTGTGTTTTGTCTTGTATGTATTCTTTCCATAATTTCTTATTTTCTTTTATTTCTCTTTTCACTTCATCGTTCCACCAAGATGTTAGTTTCCCTCTGTTGTTATTTTTTGTAGTATCACATAAAGATTTGTCTGTTTTTATCATCACATTTTTAAATTTTTTCCATTCTTCTTCTATTGTTTCTGTTATTTCATGTTCATTGTCCATCTCTTTCTCTAGCCCTTTTGTGTATCTTATTTTCATTGTTTCTTCCCTTAGTTTATAAATTTTTATTATTTCTTTGTTTTCTGTTTATGTTCTCACTTCTTTTTATTTCTTTTCTTTTGCTTTTGAATGTGGTTTCAGTAGATAGTGGTCACTACCAATGTCATAACTCCTTTTCATCCTTACGTCACTTACCCAGTTCTTCTCTGTTTTTCTGTTTTTTGCACTGTAGCATAGTCTATAATTGATTGTTCGTCTCTTAATTTGACTTCTCTTGTGATCTTGTGTATCCTTTTATGTTGGAAGTGTGTGTTCATAATCACCAGGTTACTGTCTAGACAGAATTCGAGTAGTAATTTTCTATTTTTGTTTATTTTTTCCTCCCCATAAGGTCTGATAACATTGTTCCATTTTTCTGCTTCTTTCCCCACTCTACTGTTCATGTCTCCTGTGATCACAATTTTCTCTGTACAATCGTTTTATCACTTCTTGTAATTTGTCCCAGAACTCATACTTTAGCACATAAAAAATTTGCTAATAAATTTCTTTCAGTCGCTATGTTCAGTTTAGGTCATAATAAACCACTTCGTTGGTTAATAGGCCTTTCTGTAGTTCTACCAGTGCTTGCTCGAAGATATGTTCAGAGTACATGTTAAATAACACTCCTCTATCTATAGAGGTTGCTTCTGTCAACTGATAATCCACTTTAATGTTGGCAGTTGGTAGTACCCTGGTCTATTATTCCGAAATAGCTTCTGTATTGTATTTTTACACATCTCGCATTATTTCTGTGTCTTTCTGTTAGATACATCTTTCGTCTTAATAAGCTCTTTTGTGTGTTGACTTTTAAGATGTTTCGCTTAAAATTTGGATAAAAAAATGTGAATTTTTAGAAAATACCACAGATTAATCAGGCCCTTCACCTAATAAAATAAAAAAATTGAAGAAAAATAAGGTAATATTTTAGTTTTAGAAACTCTTTTATTTGAATAATTTTCAAAATTTAACCATTTAAATCGATAACACATCTATTAAATGAAAAGGAACTGCTGTACACGCTGTATAATGAGTTAAGTAGTATTGTTTATTATTATATAAATTTCAACACCACTATTATGATAAAATACTATTAAATTAGTAACCCAAACTCGATTCATGTAAATTATCGCGATAATTGGAAATCTGTTTTTAATTGAGAATTTCGAGGTTTTTATCTTCATGAAACGTTAACGAATTTTAAAAATGTTTAATAATGTGACTTATAGCTAGAAGTTTATGTTCGTAGTAAGTGGCCAAGAAAGACAGTTTTTTCATGGTGCAAGTTCATGTTTTAAAATGTTATTTTTATCTGGAAGGTAAAGAACTTTTTTTTTAATACATACATATTTTTTGGCAATAAATTACAAATTACTCAGTAAATTCATTAATATTATATAATAATATTTATAATTCCAATTTGGAAATCGTACGTACAAAATAAATGATGACATTTTATTAAAAAATAATTAATAGAAATATGATTACAATAGCAGAGATATAGAAAATAAGAAACCGAATTTCTAGAATAAGTTGTTATTTTTTTCGAAGCCTATTATAAAACGATCGTGCTGTAGCCAATTGTAGTCAAAGTAGCATAGCTCAAGAAGACATTTTAAACTGTATAAATACAAATTATTAATATATATTATATTATGATCAAATTGTGTAAGAAATCAAAACATAAATAAAATTCCTACTCTAAAAAAGCGGCATCACTTTATACACTTTTGCCACACGCTTAACTATCAATAAAAAAGTATTTCCGTATCAGTTGCGTACAATTGTCTAATATATTTAATTAAAATTATTATTTTGTGGAATATTAGACTTGAAGAGTTATTTCATAAAATTTATATTATTAATAATAACAAATGTTTTTGGTTATTTAATCAATATAATTCTAAAATTTCCAATATAATGATAATTACATTTTTCTAATTATTACACCATGTTGACGCCTATGAGAGATCGAGCAGTTCCGTATGGGTTTCGTATTATTAGCTGGTTAGGAAAATTTGAACTCTAAAGGTCGATTCAGACACATCAGTCCCGTCACAGTCTCGGCGCCGAATCGGTCCTGTTTGGTCACAGAACTATCAACTATCTGACAGCTGGCAAACTGTTCGCCAACTGATGAATGTGAATGCCGGCGCCATATTTCTATTAAAGAATATTTTGTATTACGGATTGTTCGGTTCGGCGCCAGGGCTGTGACGAGACGTGACTGATGTGTCTGAATCGACCTTTAGGTTGATGTTCTCGAAATTTTAAATATAAGTGACGTCACTTTGTATAAATCGTGACGTGCAAGTGTTTTACTTGGAAAAATGGTGTATATATATATATATATATATATATATATATATATATATATATATATATATATTGTCATTTTTAAATACTTATGAATATTACATTTTAATTTGTATTGTATTATTATATTGAATTATGTTGCAGTGTATTGTATTATATTTTGATACTAATAACAAAATAAAACAATGAATTTTACTGCAGAGTATGTGTAAAAATAAATTAAAAAAAACAAATAAAAAAAAACTGGTAAAAGCAGGTGACACATGAGCGCTAACATAACAGGAAAGAAATCGAATACAAGCCTCAACAGCGTACTCATTACAAATAAACAGAATGAAAACTAAAATAATTAGGACAAACCTAAATGTTTAATCACTAACACAGTTTATAGAAAGGACACAGCTTGTCTTGGCACTTGCACAAAATGAACAAAAATACCTGTTAAATATGGGAAAATAGTGAAGAAGGCAAAACAGAAGACAGGAAGGACTAGAAAAAATATTGTAGTACGTAATAATATGTTATACTTGTACACCCTGTAGGTCAAAAACACCCATAAAAAGGCATTTGATTAAAATACTGAAATATATTGTATAAATAAATATGCAAGAAAAGGAAACAGTTACAATGGAAGAATCAGAATATCTTAATTAAATAAACTTTATTAGGATTTGTTGACACATGATTTTTATAAAATAAACTCTGACAACAAAAATGTCATAAACCAAGCTAAAATAGCTACAATACTGACAAAATTCTTAGTGGACAAAAGGACCTGAATTAGAAGCTTTCTTAGCTGTTTATTGAGTTTTGAAAATAAGTAGTATTAATTCAAGCATGGTTATATTTATAAAGAGGTCTGAAAATACCGACGTTAAATGTTCATAATTAAATTTCATGTATAATTAAAAATTATATATTCGCGTCATTTATAAAAATCACATAATTAATAAATATTCATTTTTGTTTATCTCTTTAGAGCCTATATAAATGTTGTAAAACCCTAACAATACTCTTTTTGTTTCAGAGTAAGCATGGTGGCTGTGATAGCCATAGTTTTGTATTTTGCCCTTGCTGCAAGCGGCAAGGATCCAAATATAGAAGAAGAAGAAGCAGCTGGTTATAATTTTATAAGAGCAACTAATAAAAAAAGTGAGGAAAATCTGAATAAAGCAACGATAGCCGACTGGAATTATGCTTCTAACATTACGGATATTAATCTTGAAATTAGTGTAAGTCTAAGTAACTTCTTAATCTTATTTTTTAACAGATAGTATTGAACTGTTTCCTGGTTTCTTGTTTGTTTTATTGCCTTTCTTTACATTAACAGGTTGAGTGCCACAGCAGACACCAGTGTCTGCTCAGAGGTATCTGCCCAATATTGCCAGAGCAGACACCTGTGTCTGCTATGACTTCATACACATTTTTGACTATACCTTCACATTGTCTGCAAATCCTGTGTATTTAACATACATCGGTGTCTGCTAAGGTGATGGTTTATATGCGACAACTATAAACTCTTTAAATTTTCTTACGGGACTGCTTTTTTTGAAGGTTATAAAAATTCTAGTTTTGAAGACAAATATTTACTTTCATAAAAAGATAAAATACATAGCAACTAATTATAATGTGTTTTATTAAAACAAGAAAGACACATTGGAGGTTTTCCAATACAATCATTACAAAATGTGGTAACTTTTGATATTTTACTTCGTGGAATCTCACCCAACTTCTTTTTTTCATAGCAACCTCGACAATATTTACGGCTCAGTCTTGAACTTCCTTGTTTTTTTTTTATAAATTTATGATTGGATATCGACTTTCGTTTTGGTAGTTCAGGATTTTGAGACGTATTTGGTGGTAAAGTCTCATCAGCAGTGTTCAAGAGTTCTGTTACAATATGTTCTCGAATTCATGAACAGTTATATCTTTTATTGTGATTTCTTTGTACAAAAAGTGAGCATTGACAATACATGTTCCTAACAACAACTCTATGGCTAGTTTTCTATACCACTTCAGGCTGCGTCGTAATGCCGAACCATAACTAGCCAGTTGATCAGATAAATCTATGGAAGATTTTCCATAGATTTATCTGATCAACTGGCTAGTTATGGTATTCCAGTATTGTAATCTTTAATTGACTTAGGTTTAACACAGTTTTAGTTCTTCCATTTAGTAATTGTGATATCATCATCGTTTTCCCTCGAAATTATTTCACCTCGTTTCAACTTTTTATTTATGACAGCCTTTGGATTTCCACGTCTATTTTTACGAAGTGTTCCGATCAAATGAGTATTTTTACTAAGCAGATTATTTGCGAGTTCAAGACTTGTGTAATAATTGTCTGTGACAATAGTTCTACCTTTACCCAAGAGCTTCTCAGACAATCTTAGAACAACATCTGTAGGCAAAGACGTAGTTCTATTGTTATTACTTTTACCACCATATACTTCCAAGTTCCAGATATAACCAGAATTACAGCATAGTTTAAAAATTTTTATCCCATATTTGTGGGTTTTTTGCGGTGTATATTGTTTTAAAAGCAAGCGTCCTTGAACTGGAACCATACTCTCATCAATACAAAAAACTTCACCTGGAGTATACAACGCTTGAAAATTTGTATTGCACATATTTACCAATCTCTGTATTTTATAAAGGCGATCACCTTGGGGGCAAAGTTCATTGTCTGCAAAATGCATCATCTGCAGAAGAAGCTGGAATCTGTTCCGGCTCATTGTATTCCTCACAACATTATTATTATGCAATATAGATTTGGACCAATATCTCTTTATTGCTGGCATTTTCACCTGACCCATATAGCCTATAAGTCCTAGAAATCTTTTCATTTCAGAAATAGTCGTGGGTTCCCATTTATGTAGTCGCGAGGATTGTGGGATATCATTTATTGTTGTTAGGCATTGTGTAGCATATAAATTTGTTTGCTGGACAATATGATCAATTATGTTATTATCCACACAAGTAGAATAAAAGTCAAACAGAGTACCACTTGAAAGTTAAGCCACAACCGCGTCATTAGGACCACATTCATCTATAAAACAAAGATTTTTTCCGCCGTCCAGTAGGTTCAGACCAACCATCACTGATTTCTGTAACGGGTCTGGAGACTGTTGTGTTGTAATTTGTCAATGGGGTATCACTCGAATTGGAATCGGATGATTCACTTTCTGTCTCGTTTTTTCCATCTTAGACTTTGGCGGCACCTAAGCAGCAGGTTCAGAATCATCAGAATTTGACGATCTTGGAACATAAGCTGGATCGTTTATGGAATCTGTGGAACTGAATTTCTCATCTGATGAATCGCAGCTGTCTTCTGAAAACATTTATTTACTTGCAATCCGATATAACTTACACTTATTGTTAAAAACTTACCGTAACTTGCTGCAGACTGTTTTGCATAAATTGCAGCCATAATTCTCTTTGTGCGATCACTAATATTATGCATGATGTATAATTTTTAAGAAAAATCACCAATATAGGTATTTAATACAGCTATTAAACAAAAGTATAACTCAACAAACTACTATCTCACGTGTATGTCTTTGAGGTTAGGTTTAAACGACAGCGGCGCCGTAAACCTCAGTGTCTGCTATTTGTGTCTGCAGAATTAATAAAAGGCAAATGTTGCCATCAGTGCCACAGCAGACACCGGTGTCTGCTTCGGATTGAAAAAATTACGACTTCATTTCTCCTAAAAATTTATAAGCATTCTAGATATTATAAAAACAAAAAATTGAAAATCCACTCATCTACTCAGTTTCTGGTTGGCACTCAACCTGTTAACATTCATTTTATACTCTGCTCTTACAGAAAGGTGATCCGGGTTACATTGCGCTCATCTCATGCTTTTTATATTTATTATATTATGCACGTGTTTCCCCTCTATTAAAATATGATTGATTCATTGTCTTTTTATTAGATTTGTTTGTAGGATTGTAAAAATTTTTATATAGTCCATAATTTTTTTTAGTTGAACGTGTCTGCGGAAGTCGCCCAACAAGATAAAGAAACCTGGGAGCAAGTGAAGCAGTTCGATTGGAAACGCTTCTCGTGTGCCAACCTGAAAAGACAATTTAAGTTCTACTCAGTTATTGGAAACGCAGCCTTACCAGAAGCAGAATTCAAGGCTTTGAAGAAACATATTAGTGACATGGAATCTGTGTACGCCAAAGCAAAAATTTGTGACTATAATAACAAAACCAACTGTGATCTAGCTTTAGAACCTGGTAAGAATTCGTTACTCTATAATCATATTTATTTTGTATATATGTAATGTAATTTTACCAGCACTATAGAATCGGAAAAGTTGGAAGTAGATTTTTAATAACTAAATTGAGTTGTTTTGAAAATAACAAAGTGTTATTTATTGCTACAAAATTTGCAAACTTATAATTATAAGGTATCATACCTGAAAAAAACAAAGAAACAACAATTAAAGCTATTAATAAGGTTAGATCATTTCTTGTTCATAATTTTCATAACGAATTTATAATGTTTATTTTCACTTGTCAGTCTACTCAAGCTGCTTGGAAATCTTGCGTTCCGTCGGTAAGGCGGTAAAATTCAAATTTAGGAAAATCTCGACAGCAGATATTGCATGTTGGGATTTTCTTTACATATATACGTATTTAGATTAGTATATCGCGTAGACGCATCAGACGTTGAGGCTGAATACAAAATCAAACACGAAAAAAAAAGTAAACGCATCGCTAACTATTTTCTATTCTAATGGGAGCTTACAAAGGTGTCATCTACTTTGATGGCCATCAACAAAAACAATTTATTTAAATTATTTTGTCTTTAACGATAGACAAAATGTGTACATCTAGTAAAAGTTTACATCTAGTAAAAGCTTGCTATCGCTTTGGTGTTTTAAAAAGTATATAGACCAAGATAAGAGAAATATGGAAATACGTGCTTGGCGGAGGAACGCGATGGATAGGGCCGACTGGAAGAGAATTCTTGGGGAGGCTAGGACCCACACAGGGTTGTAAAGCCAAAATGATGGTGATGATAATGGTGTAGGAGCACGATTTGGTAGTCTTTGCATTTTAATTGGTAAACAGCACATTTGGCTTTTATATGCAGGTGTCCTTTGACTAGCGTATATACAGTAAGGGAGCTTGTTATGACTCAGTTTTCGGGTTGGGGACGATACTTTTTGCCATACCTACGACTGACTCTGGTTCGAAGTATTTTATAGCTGATCGTCATCTGGCAAGTTCATCAGCTCTTTTATTGACTTAAATTTCCTGGTGACCTGGAACCCATACCAGTATAACACTGTTATGTTTCACCAGTTTGTCCATTGCATTCTCCAAATATTCTAGAGCCCTCTTAGAATTGATGTAACTGCTTGACTATCTGGGTATATGTTTATACTTAATTGTGCTTCTGTTTAAAAGCCCTTTACGTTAGTTAATTTTTTACAACTTACGATTGCACAATATTTACATTTCTACTAATATTAAATATTCATGTACCCTCCCTTTTTGTAGTTTAAGATCGGTCTGTGTACCAGGTATATCTCCGCTGCCCGCATTGCGTATTTTATCTACCCCATACCGCTCGTGGGCAAATCTACACTTAGAAAGGTATTTTAGCCGTGTATCTGGATACCATGTGATCAGAAGTCAGCATTCGGTCGGTATCCCTGATATTATTTATGATGATACCTCATAGCGCCTGTGATTTCAAGGCAAGCATACCACTGATTCAGATTAAATTATGATTAATTTTACCATTCAGTTATAAATCCAATAAAAACATCTGGTTTGTTTCTATGTGTGCATCTGTCTACTATTAAGGTAGTAGCCGCTCTGTTGGCTATTCGTTCTATTTACTGATTCCCAGTAAGCCCCGACTCTGATATTACCTTAAAGTTCTATACTTTACTTACCATTTAGGTTTATATAACCTAAACCCTTTAAATTTTTCGTTCTGGAAAATGGTATGATATTGGACTTCTTTGAGCTTGTGTTAAGTCCATTCTGTAACCTCTCCTTCATTATCGAAGGTACCTTTTATGTAGCTCTGGGATCTTGGATTAAGGCAACATTACACCTTTCCCTAACAACGGTATGTTTTGAGAAACAGGTAATACTCTGTTAATGATTCGCCTCTAGGTCTGTGATTGGGATTATTGAGATTTATTTGGAAACACAATTTTTGCTCTAAATGCTTACTTGTGAACTTAAAAGAGTCGCTTAGAGTCTTAGACTAGGCTATCTCTTTTTGTCTTGTATCTATTTTATTCTTTCAATGTTCGATATTAATATATATTTATACAAGGAACGGCAGTGCGCCTATACCGTGCTAAAGTTATAAACTTCCAAAGTTCGCCAGCTCTCTAGTGTATTGTTTAGTTAATATTTATTGGCTACGTTGATATTAGATCTCGAGATTAAAGAACGCAGGATTCATAGCAAATGTCTCATCGTATGATGTGTTTTTTTGTTTGAGTTTCGATGTATGTTTACACGTATATATATATATATATATATATATATATATATATATATATATATATATATATATATATAATATATATATGTAAATGCTTGTCATGTTCAATTAACAAATTCAGTTGTCTCAGTTGATCCGCGATGTTATTTGATTATACCATATTCACACCAATAAGATGCTATTAGGTACTCATAGACGTTGGTTGCCTATTAGCGATTAGGAAGCTCCACGTCGGAGATAAGAACTTCCCTTCTCAGTCTCCACTACGTGGGCGTTATTGAGTGATTAGTGGCTTTCTTATTGTTGTAAATCCACAAGTAAATATTATTATTTTGCTGATACATAAGTCCAGTGTCTAGCTCTAACCTGAGAGAGAAGTCTACAGAATACAACAAACCATTGGCACTGATATTTGTCGACTACGACACAGCATTCGATACCATAAGCCACCAGAAAGTGTTAAAAACATTGACAGATTGCCGAATAAACCATCACTTCATTAACATAATTAAATATATCTACCAAACTCGACAGCTAGCGTAACACTACCTGATCATGAAATAAATAAATTTTGTATACCGCGAGGAATATGGCAAGGAGATACCGTCGCTCCAAAGTTATTATTCACGACGCTTATAGAACATACTTGTGAGAAGGCACATCTGAGTGAGCATGGTATCAACATAAATGAAGAGAAGCTCAGTCATTTGAGATTTGCAGATGACATCATTCTTCGCCCACCAACTAGATCCGACCTGAAGCGTGTTAGCAATAACTGGATGCAAGCCGCACAAGACAGAGATGGAAAGAGCTGAGGGAGACCTATGTCCAGCAGTGGACGCATACAGGTTGATGATGATGATAAAATATGGTATAAATCATTTACTCTAGGATTTATTCTTACAAATATAGTTAACCATGTAAAATTTTTGCCCAAAATAAGGGTTTTGCTAATAGGCATTCGTAACCTGCTATTTTGGAGATTTTTTTTGACATAACTTCTATTATTGTTCTGAAGCTATTTTCTTGTGGCATTGTAAATTAATTACTATTAAACTGGGAATAAGCCACAATTAAAGATAAAAATACATTTATTGACGTTTCAATTTTCACTTCGGAAATCGTTCTCAAAATACAAACAGTAAATTAAACAAATTTTGTTTTTTGTTACATAGTGAAAAATTCTTCTAATAATTTAATTTTATCTGACTCATTTATATTGACAATTCAGACATACATTATGCATTTTAAAGTAGACGACTTTAAAATGATATTGCCAATATTGTTGAGTTGCGCTCCTGGGACGACTTTACTTATAAGATAGTTCATTCGATTACATGAAATCAACTTTAACTGAGAATATCCGTCAGAAAAAATCATAGCATGTAATTCGTCTTTAAAAAGACAAACACATGACATGATGACAGTAAAATTCTCCTGTTAGTGATTCCATAGTAAATTATGAGGGAAAACCAGGAAAAAACCTCATAATACTATCCCGACATTGTAAGTATTTGTTCGTGAATTTAGTTTACCTTCAACAAACATCAAAATTCTGATTTTATATGTTACATTATTTAAAAAACATAAATGATGTATCCTCTATATGTTACTGACTTACTAATACTGGTATTTTCTTATTAATAACTTCCTCTTTCAATATTGGTAACCAGATCCTACTACATTCTGCCGAAGAATTTGCGACACAATTGGCCTCATTTAACATAATTAGAGCCGCTTCTTTGATTTTTCTTTTTTTTACCATCCGTTTCTTTTAGGACTACATTTGAATTACTCCATTGAACCCTATGTTCATTTTCCATGCGTGTTTACAGATTTGAGATCTATCAAATTCTTTATTTTTAATATAAGATTGATGTTCACTTATTCTAACATTTAATGGCCTTGATGATTCACCTAAATAAAACTGATCGCATTCACAAGGTATTTTATAAAACACTTATAAAAAATCAAAGAAGCGGCTCTAATTATGTTAAATGAGGCCAATTGTGTCGCAAATTCTTCGGCAGAATGTAGTAGGATCTGGTTACCAATATTGAAAGAGAAGTTATTAATAAGAAAATACCAGTATTAGTAAGTCAGTAACATATAGAGGATACATCATTTATGTTTTTTAAATAACGTAACATATAAAATCAGAATTTTGATGTTTGTTGAAGGTAAACTAAATTCACGAACAAATACTTACAATGTCGGGATAGTATTATGAGGTTTTTTTCCTGGTTTTCCCTCATAATTTACTATGGAATCACTAACAGGAGAATTTTACTGTCATCATGTCATGTGTTTGTCTTTTTAAAGACGAATTACATGCTATGATTTTTTCTGACGGATATTCTCAAGTTAAAGTTGATTTCATGTAATCGAATGAACTATCTTATAAGTAAAGTCGTCCCAGGAGCGCAACTCAACAATATTGGCAATATCATTTTAAAGTCGTCTACTTTAAAATGCATAATGTATGTCTGAATTGTCAATATAAATGAGTCAGATAAAATTAAATTATTAGAAGAATTTTTCACTATGTAACAAAAAACAAAATTTGTTTAATTTACTGTTTGTATTTTGAGAACGATTTCCGAAGTGGAAATTGAAACGTCAATAAATGTATTTTTATCTTTAATTGTGGCTTATTCCCAGTTTAATAGTAATTAAATAACTTCTATTTTCTTTACTATCAGTTCTGGAAATATATTTTGCAAACACTACTAAAACAAATATTGTATTTGGTTTATACAAAGATTGTTGATGAAACATCAATAACTTTTTTATAATATTAAATAATTTTTTTTAACCCCATATATACTATTTTCTCATTCCCCTAGACTAAACTTCCTAATTAGTATAAATTTTTTTTGAAGTTTTATTCAGTTTGAAATCTTATAAATTTCTTTATTTTAGAATTGACAGCTATTTTGGCAAATTCAAGAGATGAAAAGGAACTAAAACACGTGTGGGTAGAATGGAGAAAGGCCCTTAGCAAGTGCAAAGCAGATTATATTCCCTACGTCACCCTATCTAACCAGGCAGCTAAATTAAACAATTTTAGTGATAATTCAGAACTATGGCTCTTAAACTACGAGGACGATACTTTTAAAGACCAAGTGCAGACTTTATGGGAGCAAGTGAAGCCCTTATACCTAGAACTTCACGCATATGTGAGATTCAAGCTAAGAGAAAAGTATGGAGATGTTGTACCAGAGAAGGGACCAATTCCTGCTCATTTGCTAGGTAAAATTTCTTCATAATCATTAAAAAATGTTAAGTCAACGAACGATGTAATGTTGCATTAAATTTTTATGGGTTATATTGAGGAATTTTATGTTATTAAAAGAACTTATAATGATTTTGTTTTGTAGTTTGACATTTAATTTTTGTGTTGTAGGAAATATGTGGGCGCAAACATGGAACAATATTGCAAGTTTTACCTTGCCATATCCAGATGTTGTGGATTATGATATCACTGCAGAAATGTTAAAACAGGTAATACAGCAATTTAAAGTATTCCATCATAAATAATTTATTTGCACTATTAGGTACAATAGAAATTTGATAGAATTTGGTAGAATAGGTCTTTAGTCCACATTATATTCTTCATTTATTTTTTGAGAAGTTGTCTGCGTTAGTGTAAAATTGAATAATTTGTTAAAAGTCTAAATAACATGTTTCATTTGTTTTTAGAACTTCACAGCAACGAAGATATTTGAAGTGGCCGAAAGCTTTTTCAAGTCCATCAATTTGACAGCTATGCCCGATCTTTTCTGGCAGAGATCGATCTTGGAGAAGCCAAAGGACAGAGAAATCGTTTGTCATGCTTCAGCTTGGGACTTTTACGATGGAAAGGACTTCAGGTGACTAATTTTTCTATAAAATAAAGGCAGATAAGATTTGATTTCCCTTATAGTGCCTCTGTAAATTCACTTATACGGATTTCATGCTAACAAGACTCATCGGGAGACTTTTATGGAAGCTGGAATACAATTTTAGATTCCTCATTTTCTGTCTTTACAGCTTTAACAACGTCTGTTTTGCATTACGATTCTTAGAAGGCACAGATTAAAGCAAAAATCTGGATTTTGATTTCGTAAAAAGAAATCTTCGGAGTTCTACTTCCGTGATTTAATTTTGATATATTTTTTACTTGTCATCCCATTTTTATATTGTAAACAGCGTAAACTATTTATTTTGTGAATCTTTACATACAATTTTATTCGAAGATTCATTATTGGTGAAAATGTGTGCCTTAAAATAAAACATATTTTATTTAATACATTGTCAGACTTGTCTTTACGTTACATTAAGTCATGTACAAGATGGCTAAATGTATAAAAAATGACTGAAGGTCCAAACAAACATTATATGGTTGAAGGCTCAAAGGTAAAAAACTGGCTGAAGACCTTCATCATCATCATGGCTTATTCATTCCTGGCGGAGTGTTTGCCGCCCTTTTGGGCTCTCTGATTCATTTATTGCGGATAATCAGTCCGCTGTTGTTTTTTTATTATTATAGCAGCGTGTGTGACTTGGCCCTGTCTACAATTTTCCTCCATTCTTTCCGATCCTTACAGCGCTCCTTCCAATTGTAGATTCTCAGCTTCTTTATGTCTCCTAAGACTTGATCTCTCCATCTTGTTTTTGGTCTCCCCTTTGGTCTCTTTGTTGTTGGTCTCCATCCAGTTATTCGCTTTAGCGTAGAGTCTGGTTAGCTCTTTCTGTGTGCCCCAGCCACCTGAGCCTTTGCGTCTTAACGAACTTGATTATGTCTTCACCCTCGATGACTTCTTTAATTTCTTCATTGGTTAATCTTCTAAATTCGCCTACACTTATCCTCACCGGCCCCATTATTCGTCGAATTATCTTTCTCTCTAAGATTTCTAACCTCATTTCATCTTTCTGTGTTGGGCACATCGTCTCTGCACCATATGTGATCACTGGCCTGATTGCAGTCTTGTAAATTTTTAATTTGGTTTTCTTACTAATGTGTTTTTCTTTCAAGAATTTTTGGTAGTTCCAGTAGGTTTTATTACCCAGTAGGATGCGTTCATTTATTTCATCTGTTCTATCATTTCTGTCATTTACCATCACTCCCAGGTATTTGAAACGGTGTACTCTTTCAAATGTATATGCACCAAGCTTAATTTCTTTCTCTATGTTCGTATTCTTTCTTGAACACTTGAGGTATTTCGTTTTCCTTTGGTTTATTACTAGCCCTCTCTTCTTTGCTTCTTTATCTAGTATTACTATTATGTTCTGCATGGTTTTTAAATCTCTAGTAACCAGTGCAATATCGTCTGCATACGCAATCAGTTGGGCTGAATATTCGATAATCGTTCTCATAATTTTGGCTGCTCTTACTGCGCCCTCTATGGCAACGTTAAATAATGTTGTTGACAGGGAGTCTCCCTGTCTGACACCTACCTCCATTTGTACTTCATCTGACGGGCCTTCCTTTGTTAAGATTCGTGCCTTGGATTCCTTCATCGTCATTTTCGTGAGACTTATTAATTTTTCTTGTATGCCTAATTGATTCATATCCTTAATTAGCTCCTCCCTTATTACACTGTCAAAAGCTTGCTTGTAGTCAATAAACAGTATATGTAGATCTATTCCGTACTCGTAACTTTTTTCGACTATTTGCGTTACAATGTGTATTGCATCTACTGTTGACTTACCTTCTCTAAATCCATGTTGGTATTCACCTATTTTTGTTCTAGTTTCTTTTTCTGATCAAATTAGTTAATATTTTGTACATTGTATTTAATAACGTGATTTCCCTGTAGTTAATGCGTTTCGTGTTGTCGCCTTTTTTAGGGATTGGTGTTATCAGACCACAATTCCAGTCGTTCGGCATGCTTTCTTCTTCCATATTCGTTCTATTAGGTTGTGGATTCTGTGGGCTAGTTCCTCTCCCCCATTCCTAAAGAACTCATTTATAATATCGTCTGGTCCTGCTGCTTTACTTGTCTTTAATCTGTTTATAGTCGCCAATGGTTCGCTGTATGAGGGAGGCTCTGATTGTTCTCCATTCCTATTTTCTGTTTGTTCTTCATTTTCTGCTTTTTCAGCATCGTCTTTCTTTTTAAACAGTTCTCTATAGTATGTTTCCCATTCTATTTTTCCAATATTTGCTGGTATCTCTTTTTTTCTCTGTGATTTTATGTATTTGTATAGTCTTGCATTGTCATTACTATTGGCTTCGAGTTCCTGCAGTAATTCTTCGATCCATTTCTTCTTTTTTCTTTTGCAGCATTTGTCTGACTCTTTCTTCTTCTCTTTATAGTGTAGGGCTGAAGACCTTAATAATATTATTAATAAAGCAGTAAAACTTTACTTGGTATGAGTTTACACTTATAGTCTTTAACGAAATAGGTTGAGGAGGGGAGAACTGTCTGTCTTAAGTTGATCATTTAGAATTATGTCTGTGTTTTTTAATTTGTTTATTACCATAGATTCTAACACAGATAGCTAAAGGCCTTTATTTTAAATGTGAAGAATTTGAAATTCGCCATTAAAAGAATTATTAGAATTTGTGTTTTTATTATTAAAAGTCCTTTTATGTTTTGTTATTCGTTTATTAAAATTTTAAGTTTGTTACACCACTGTGTAAGAGCTTTTTATTTTGGCTCTTGTTTTTAATATATTTGCCTAATCTGCAAGCTGGTGTTATTCCCTTCTTTTTTATGTGTTTGGCTATTTTTGTTGATATTTTGCCTGTATATGTAATCGAGCAGAAGGTACTGGGATTTTTCGCTGATGGTGGAAATACTTATTTCAAGGCATTCTTGTATAGTTTTTGATTTAAAATTTTATTAACTGTTTGTTCGTTGTATCCATTGTTTACTGCTATTTCCTTAATGATATTTAGTTATGTTTCAAAGTTGTATGTTGACATCGAAATTTCTGTTAATCTATGTAATATACTATGATAGGCTGCTAGTTTATGTTGTGTGGGATAGGATGAATTGTGTATAGTCGTGTATGGGTAGGTTTATGAAATATGGAGAAATCATGTTTGTTTTTAAGTCTGATTATTAAACATGTAAGTCTTCTGTAAACTTGAAGCGAAAAATAAGGCCATAATTACAAGAAAAGAATTGCTAACAACACAAATATCATCACATTTTCGCAACAAGTAGATAAAATTAATTTGCCTAATAATTATTCTGACGAAAAAATTTTGCAAGCTGACTTATGAAAATCTTTCGGCGTATGCCTTCCAGTACAAACAGTTTTATACAAAAAAATCGGTATAAAGTAGTCCACAAAAAAGCTGAACATTTTATGTGGAATTTTCTATCGGATATAAGAAATTTTTCAAGCTATATAGTTGCCATTTACCTGGCGAATCTAAAGAAATCAAGCAAAACGTTTATAAAATCATGATAGCCACAGCACATGATAAATCGAAGGCTTATGGGATATTGCAAAACACCAAGATAAGTGGAAAATTATTCTAAAAACATTCAACAGTTACTCATGGAAAGGTTAACAATTTCTTTGTCCCAATCTACTATAAAATTGTGAACACTTTAAACAATAATTCATTAGTCCATTAGAATAATTATTACAAAAGTACCCAATACACCGGATGTTCGACATTAAATTTTAAAACATAAACATAAACTTGGACTAGAATATGCAAAAAATATAAAAATTATTATTAGTTTCAAAGATTCATGCGACTTGCTGCTCCAACCATTACTACATATTATAATCAGTATTTGCATAACTGATTGTATTTGGCGAAAATGTCTTTTTTTTTAAATAGTAATAATATATAAATAGAAAAATAGAAAAAATAGGTACCTGTCGTACCAATTATTTACTCTAAATCTAACTTTTGATATTTTTAGGATCAAAATGTGTACTGACGTTAATTATGAAGATATGAACACCGCTCATCATGAAATGGGACACATAGAGTACTTCTTACAGTACCGCAATCAACCCACTCCATACCGGAATGGAGCCAATGATGGTATTTAAGCAAAACACCAGATATGCTTGGACAGTTTCTAATTGTTATGTTTTAGGATTCCACGAAGCTGTTGGAGATCTAATTTCTTTATCCTTCAGTTCTACCAAACATTTGCGGAAGATTGGACTAATAACCTCCAAAACTGATAATAATGAACAGCTCCTCAACAACTTGTACAAGGTTAGTTTTTTGTATATAACTAATAATTATTTTGGCACTATATTTACTTTATCTTTTGAAACCATTGACAGAACAATAATGATTTCTAAACTTAAACAATATGGTATAGGAGGTACAGTAATTGCGTGGTTAGAAAATTATTTACAAAATCGCAAACAGAAAGTTCGATTTAAAGACCATTTGTCATCTGAAATGGATAGTATTACATTGATTCCTCAAGGTACTGTGTTAGGCCCCCTTTTATTTATTCTGTACATTAACGATATCGATATTTTTGTAATTTGTGAATTTATTAATCTTTTTACCGATGATAATCTAATCTATTGTAGTGATGAAAATTTTGATTTAGCTATTCAAAAAATGAACACTATTTTAGATATGGTTAATATATATTTCAAAATGAGTAAACTGAAGTTGAATGTGAAAAAAACACAGGCAATGATTTTCACTACCAAACATAAATATAGCTTGCCTGATTCTGAAATCATAAATTTAAATATTAATAATGAAAAAATTAAATTGTCACAAAACAGTTTAATATTTAGGATTCCAGCTTGACAATATTTTGAATTTTGAGAAAATCACTTCGAGTACGTTCATAAAAAAATATCAAAAAAACTTTACTTTCTGAGTAGAATATCTCAAAATTTATCAATGGAAACAAAAATAACAGTATATAACACAATTATTCAACCTCATTTTGACTATTGCTCATCAATTTTATGTTTATTTAACCTTAACAAACTTAACATGCTACAAAAATTACAGAACCGTTGAATAAGAATAATTCTTAAAACAAATTGGGAAGATGTTAAATAATCTAAATAGGTTCTCTGTTGAAAATAGACTGTTTTATTTCACCATGATTTTGGTCTTCAAAATAGTAAATGGCTTATCACCTGAATATTTTCAAGAATTTATTTCTTTTAACAAAAGTATTCATTCTTATAATATCCGAGGTTTAGATAATATATATGTACATAGAACTATGTATAAAAGTATATATAAATTTTATCATTTACCAACATCTGTAAAAAAATGTACTAGTCTCAATAATTTCAAACTGTTACTTAAACAATGTATCAAAAATTTATAGTGTACTTTCTTTATATTACATGTATATAAGTGTTTCTATTTAAATAAATAACTATCTATCATCTATTTTTAGATTGGTTTAGAAAAAATCGCATTTTTGCCATTCGGATACTTGATCGACTTGTGGCGATGGGATATCTTTGCAGGAAAAACCACCCCTGAAAACTACAATTGCAAGTGGTGGGAACTAAGAGAAAAGTATCAAGGTCTTGAACCACCAGTAGATCGATCTGAAGAAGATTTTGATCCAGCTGCGAAGTACCACGTAGTTGCAGATGTTCCGTATCTCAGGTACTATAAAAATTTCAAAGAGCTGATTATTGAATACTTTTTGATGAAATTGTGGTTTCTTAATTTTTATTTATTTGCAGGTATTTCATAAGCTTCGTCATTCAGTTCCAGTTCCATAAAGCTGTGTGCGAAAAAGCAGGAGAATATGAGCCCAATAATCCTAAAAAACCCTTACATGAATGTGATATTTATCAGAATACTGATGCTGGTAATGCTCTTAAGTAAGTACACACTACAATAAAAAAAACACATTTTTATTCTTCTGGTGGATGTTGCTCTACATCGGTATATCCTATAGATACAAGTAGTTTTCATTTTTTAAGATTTGTTTTAATATAATCTGTTCTGTACTTGTAGGAAAATGCTCCAAATGGGTGCTGCTAAACCGTGGCCTGATGCAATGGAAGCTTTGACAGGTCAAAGAACCATGGATGCTAGTGGACTTTTGGAATATTTTAAACCTCTTCACACATGGTTAAAGCAAGAGAATACTAAGAATGGAGTTCAAGTTGGTTGGGAAAAGAGCAAAAGAGGTAGATATAGTTTTTTTCAATATAATATAATAATATTAATATTTTTGTTTATTTACAGTATGTGTAAGGACCAGACAGGAGTTAGAATCGAAAGATAAGGCTAAGGAATCCACAGAATAATTAGGGAAATTTCAGGAAGGGTTAAATAAATATGTATTATATGATATTAAATGAATATTTTTATTTAAATTTGGTATATTTATTTCTTCAAGACAAACAAAAGTTATGGCAACAATTATAAAATATAATATGTTTTATTGTGTCCTGCACGTCCTAGAATTAAAGATATTAAACGATCTTGGTCTTTCTTGTTACATATTGTACTCCCGCATCAGTTATCTTCTTCTTCTTCAGCCTGTATTCGTCCACTGCTGGACATAAGCCTCTTTTGCTTCCATTGATTTCTACTTCTCATCCACTTCTTGCCCGCGACTTCCTTGATATCATCGGCCCACCTCTTCTGTGGTCTGCCTACTCCTCGCTTGTTGTCTGTTGGTCTCTAGTTTGTTAATCTTTATGTCCATTTTTCGGGATTATCTCGAGCAACATGTCCGATCCATTGCCACTTGAGCATTGCTATACGTTCTGTGACATCAGTAATCTTTGTTCTGTCCCAAATGTCGATATTTCGAATTCTGTTTCTCAAACTAATCCCTAGCATGACCCTCTCCATCGCTCTTTGGGCATACTAAGCTGTTCTAAGGTTTTTTTTTGTAAAGGCCATGGTCTTCATTCCATATGTAGGTACAGGCAAGATACATTTATCTTAAACTCTACGTTTTAGACACATTGCTATATCTTTATTCTTCAAGATGAAGCTTAACTTGCCGAAAGCTACCCAAGACAAGTGTATGCGTCTTTTTATTTCGGCTGTTAGGTTTTTTTTGCCGATTTTAATGGTATGTCCAAGATATATATCGTGGTCTACATATTCAAGACTGACGTTGTCAATAACAATATTTGTTTGTAAATTACTCATTATTTTTGTTTTCTGAAGGTTTATTTTAAGACCTATTTTATTTGACTGCTGATTTAATTCCTTGAGCATTTGCTCCAGTTCTTTGATATCTGTACTAAATAATACTATATCGTCCACAAATCTCAAATAACTCAAACGTACACTATCAACATTTAGACCTTCTTGCTCCCAGTCAAGCTGTTTGAATACATTTTCCAATGCTAAGGTAAAAAGCTTTGGTGAAATAGTCTAATACCTTTATTAAGTCGCATTTTTTCAGTTTTTTCGTCTTTATTGATTTTGATGTGGATTTGTATTCATGATGATCATTCGGTTATGTAAGCTTTATTCCATTAATCTTTTGATTACCAGAGCTTCCTCTTGCAGATATGAAAACTTTATTACTTTTCTCTTGATTATATTTTAAATCAATTATAGATTATGGATGTGTATTATATGGCTCTAGAAAATCCCTTCGACTAACGAAAAGAATACCTCAGTCAAAAGTTTCTTATTAATAGACATTGCAATTCTCCTCTCTACTCAAATATCAGCAAACTGAATAAAGAAAATTTAACTAATCGTTCTTGGAGACTTAAGAACTCGGCTCCACTTTGTGAGACTTTTAAAGGCCTGTAAAATTTTAATTATACCTTTAAATTAAAGAATTATCTATAATATCGAACATTTTGCAACCCAATAGAGTGAAACAACCAAAGTACTATGTAAATTCTTTCATTAGTTCCAATATTTTGAGGTCCTATCTCTAGTGATTTATAGTCTCTAATTATTTATAGTGATGTCTCAAAGTCTGCTGTTAGTACTGGCTGTGCTTTCCTCATCTCATCAACTAAAGTAGAAGAAATTTATCGAGTAAATTCCAATTTTTCAAAATTTTGTGCTAAAGCTATATATGAAGAATTAAGATTCTTAAAAAAAACTCAGAATACTTTTGTTACAATAGTATCTGACTCACTTTCGGTTATGTTACCCATAGAAACTACAAATTTTCCTAGTAATATCAAACATTTATATCTTTCAAATTAAAAAACTTATTTATGACATTATTAAAAACCAAAGAATCATTTTTCGTAGATTAAAGCTCACATAGGCCTTAAATATAACGAACATGTTGACCTAGCTAAAAGCCATTGCTATTGGAACACAAACTGGTTACAAAATCTCTAGACAAAACCCATTAACAAAAATTAATAATAATAATAGTAAATGGAAACAATCATGGCATATAAACAGTACAGTTCTTCCTTGCAATATGCTTCTATACAGCCTTCAATCTCAAGTGATTATTGGTTTAAAAACTATTCTTTTCCACGAATGTATTGACCATCTATAATTAGAATAAAATTTTGACACGCCTATTATCCTAGTCATCTGGTAAAACTAAAAATCGTAAATTTAAACTTGCCTCAAATGTTCTGTCTCAAAAAGAAGGAGATTTGAATTACATTTTCTTTGAATGAAGAAAAACAAGAAATAAACGAAAATCCAATAAAAAAATCTGCTATCTAATATCTTTAAATATAAACATTGCAAATTAATGTTTAATAGAATTTATCTGCAAAAGCTAGCTTGATATTTAAGCAAAATTAAAATTTTAACCTCTGTTTTATCCCATCTGCCGAGGATCATAAGGACAATAAAAAAGCAGATGAAATGGCCAAACAAGGCTTATAAATTCCATTCATTTAACAGTAACCCTTCTACGTCGTTACAATTTACAAAGACAGTTACAAGAACGGCTATAAAGTGAGTAGTTCACAACTTTCTCGAATGGTAAAGGAATTTACCAGAACAAAGACAGGTCAAACAGTTCATTACAGAACATTCGCCAAAATTTGTGGGAGACCTAATAAACACGGACAGAAAAACAGTCAAAGCCACAGTAGGTCTGCTAAAATGGCACCCTAGCAACCTGATGGGATTGGCAAATGATGACCTATGCAGATTCTGTCACCTAGAAGAAGAAACAGTATAACAGCCGGGCAAATGTGCGGGTCTTTACATTAGGCAAAGCGAAGCTACTGAAAAAGAGCAGCATGAAAGGTTGTGTTAACCAGCAGATAGACGAAAGTAAATATCAACGACAAAAGATATATATTAATTGTTATAAAAATCGTAGTGAGGAATACGGTCGTTAGTATCCAATAAAGATTAAAGAGAACTACAAAGTAGATACCATTTGCTAAAGCTGCGACAAGGAACATTTATTATTACAGATTATTTTTATTTTTTATTTTTAAATGCATATTTACAATCTACTCATAAACAATACATTGAGTAATTAGTAAATGTGATGACAACATTCACTTGATTTGGGTACTGTCCAGCGAGTTCTCCATTTTCACCTATGTAACCAGGTCTTCTATCCAAGACCTCTACAGTCTTCATTCCCCCATTGGTGGCAGATATAAGTCACTAATAATTTGGCTATGGTGCGTTGAATTAAGAATTTTGGCCCTGTTGACGTGAAGTGATATGACATCTTTTACTGTTTGTGCTCCTAAGTCATTGTAGATGGTTGCCTCACGTACTAAGGGGTGTTAGTTATAATACGCAGTGTTTTTGATTGGAAGGTCTGCAGAATTTTTGTGTTTGAAAGCTTGCTACAGCCCCAGCCGTTTATACTTGTTTTAGTATGACTTTGTAAAGCAGTATTTTGTGCTCCAAAGACAGTTGTGACTTTCTGCTAAATAACCAATTCATTTGTTTTAATTTTGAGTTTTTATATAGATTTATCAAGTTTTTTTGGCGTTAATTTGTTGGTTCCAGGTCAGCTTTCGGTCCAAATGCACCCCAAGATATTTGACAACGTTTCTAGCAGGAATGGGGGCATTATTTAGATTAACTTGTAGACAAGTGCGTCTTCTTGTTTTAGATGTGATTTAGGCTGATTTTTCGTTATTAATTTTAATTTTCCATTTTGTTAACCAATTCTGTACTGTATGCAAGTAATCTTGCAGCTTTTCAAATGCCATGGCTTAGCCTTTGAAAGTAAAACGGCTGTATTATCGGCAAAAGTCGCCAATGTGATGTCATCTGTAACAGCTATATCAGCAGTGAAGGTTAGGTGCAGGAAGGGACCGAGGACACTTCCCTGAGGAGCTCCGGATTGGATTGAGTGATAGGTTGAGAAATCATTATTGGTTTTTATTTGGAACGAGCTTCGTTAATACAGGCAACTGCTTCGTTAATATAGGACTTCAGGATAAGAAACATAAAGCTGGGCAATTAAAATTTTAATTTATATATCAAACCGTTGTGCCAGATTTTTTCAAAAGCCTGCTTATTATCGAGAAATATTGAGGCACATAGTCATAGTCTTTTCTTTCAAACTTTTCTTGATTTTATTTACTATTCTATGACACTGTTGGATTGTTGAACATTTTTGACGTAAATCAAACTGATCGTACAGTTTCGCTTATTCTATTTAACAGGAATATTTCAAATATCTTGGACATCAAGGGTAATACGCTTATCGGATGATAGGAAGAAGGTTCTGTAGGCAATTTATCTGGCTTTCCAATCATTATATGATCCAGTTAAAATATGAGCATATTTCCAATGGATTGGAAAATGGCTTAACTGCAGCATTCTACTATAGATAATAGTAAGCATGAGAATTGCTTTTTTGGGTAGATGCTTTAGGATTTTCCCATCGATTAAATCGTAACCTTTTATTTATTTATTTATTTAACGTATGGACTTTCACAGTACGATAAATATACAAATACAATTACAATAATATACGCATATATATTATATATATATATATTATTCAAACACTAAAAATAGTAAAAATAGAATGAATAGAATGAATGACACTAAATATTAATGCCTAATTTACATAGCCATTCAATTGCTTCTGGGGAACATTCCGCAAAGTCCTGGAGGTTTCTACGGTAGGCACGATTCAAGCAATCTGAAACACAATGGCTTATGGTCTGTCTAGATTCTCCGCAATCGCACTGTGAACTTTCTGCTACGTATACGATTAAGCCTTGCCCAAATGGACCGGGGCAGATTTGATCCGATGAAACCCTGAGTTGGGGTGGATATCTTAATATAGTCCGATTCTACTATTGGCATCCATCTTATTGTCCATTGCCTATGTATATCATAGGAATTACCAATTTTTCGGGCAGATCGTATTGGAGGATTTGTAGATCTCAATCGTAACCTGGGGCTTTGTGAGAGTTGGTACTCATTAATATTCTGCAAACGTCGAATGAGGAGAATGCGTTTATTGGAGGGGATAGTTGGCAGGATGCATCCAGATATTCGCTAACTACATCATCATTTATGTTTTGACCTAAATTGGGAGTAAATATATTTTCTAAATATTCTGCAAATACATTAGCTTTTTCATTGTCAGTCTGCGCCTTCTATCACTTCTATCAGGTTTTTTTATTGGAGAAATTGGTATTGTTGGTTTCTTAAAGTTTTTAGTTGCTCTTCATAGAGAGTGGTCATCTAGAGAGAAATGGTTTATACAAAAATTGAAGGTGTCATTACGAGTTTGATTTAGCGCTGACGACAGCTAGTGTTAGTCTATTTAGCTGTGTATTATGGAGTGGATTTCGGCACCTTTGCCACTTTGCACGCGCTCTGCTTTTTTTGGTTAGAATTTGTTTGATATGTAATGGCACATTGTTGTCTTCAGAATTACCCCTTTTACTTATAGGAGTAGATTCCCAAGCAGCATTTTGTATTACATCCGTTAGTTTTTGTACTGCTAATTCCAGCTTATCAGAATCTTATATTCGGTGATTTACCGTTATGTTCTGGTTAATAGTGTTTTCAAATTGTTCTCAGTTTGTTTTTTTGTTAGATAATCTGTTGATTGTACATTATAGTTGTGCTTAATGATATTATTATGGCGCTATGGTAAAAACTTAGGTCAAAACTGAACTTTATTTTTCAATGCGTGTTAGGAAAACCTTTAAATATTGCAAAATCTAGAAGAGCCGGAATTTTGTTGTTTTGTGCTGGCCAGTATGTTGGTTATACTGTGGATAAAAAGAATGAGTCGTTTTTCTGTAATGATTGATGTAGGTTTTTACCTTTTTGTTGTAGTTAGTCGTGATCCCCATAGAGTATTTTTGACATTCCAATCGCCTGCTATCAGGAAGTGCGAGCCAAGGGTTCGGAAGAAGCTGTCGTATTTTTAAACTAGGACATTATGCCTAGAAGCTATGAATAAATAGCTTCGACCATCAATCGCCTCGAGAAGGGTACTATTCTAATTAAAATATTCTGAATTTTAAGTGTGGAATAACTTTGTAAAATGTTATGTTTAACAGATGATCTGAATATGATTGCCGATCCTGCATGGGCAGTTGAATGATTTTCTGAAACTAATAATATATCTATTTTGTTAACTTTTAAAAATAACGTAATTTCTGGGACATGATTTCGCCTTCCGGCAACAATACCGGGACAACTCAAAATTGGTCGTTTTTGAGATGTCTACACTAAAATATAGAGGATTTGAAGCTCTATAATCCGCGATGACTGGGACATTTTTAAGTGCAATACTCTCCGAGCGAGGGCGCTAGGTCCACTATTACATTCAGACTGCTAGGAGGTAAGCGCGGCGGGAGTAGTGGGCTAACGCTGAAGTCCGTCACTCTGTTACCGACGTTTGAAGAGAGTGTGTCACGAACAGTGAACCTTTTGAATTGTCTCAGTGTGCATGCCTTAACTTCGGTTATCCATTTTGAGTTGTCACATCTTTTTGAATTGTTTTTAGAGATGTCCCTCTATTCAGGCTCCAAAGTAAGTATTATTGTATGTTTTTAAATTATTCACTATGTGATATCTTTACTTTGGTCATAACTAAAGAATTTTACGTAGGTACCTTTTTAATAACAGTGTTATAATTATGAATAGATAGCAGATTGGTGCGATTTTGCGAACAATTTCGGACAGAGATTAAGGCATATTTAGGTTCTACTAACCCTCGACTTTAAAGTTGAGCTTGTACCGTTGGTTGATTTTACTTGGGGGTGAAAAAATGCACGTCAAATTTACTTACGAATATCATATCGAATTTACGAATATCGTAACATAATAACTTAAGAATAACTGTAATGTACGAGTAATATTCAAAATTACATTTCGGCTCATTTGTTTTCAGGGACCGTCTCATTCTGATGTTGGTGGGCGAGGTCGGCTTTTACTATCATTATGTAGACAGAATCAAAATGAAAAGGAGAATCTAGATTCAGAACCTAATAATCCAGCGTCACGCACGATTGATAATGTAAGTGTATGGAACCCCTTTATTTTTGAATATGATCGCTTTTCGACTATAATAACTGATAAAGACTTGGCCATATTATGCGAAAAGTTCACCCAAATCTCACCTTGTTCAAATAAAAATACTTTAGCACGTTTTGAACCCACTAACAATGCTGAAGAAACGATTGAAAATCTAGACAACGAATCCACAATTAGTGATATTGTCGAACCTTTCGGAGATGACGACTCAATTAAAGATCCAGATTTCGATGTATCGGACTACGTTACGTCCCCAGACAGTGTTGAAATGGATGAGGCTAACATGAACCAGTCGACCAAAAAGCAAGCGAAAGAGATCCGACAATCCCAAGAAAGTAGGCTCAAACAAAATCATCAAATTTGCCCAGCAGCTGAAGTTCTGGTTGATGTCAATAATTTTTCACCAGAAAACGAAGGCGGAACCACTACAAAAAGAGGAAAAAAACGAGTTGCCTGTCCTTCAGAATGGAAAAGTAACAAGAATAAACAGCTTCGTAATTCGGGCAAAGAATACACTTCACGGAAATCTAATAAAATCGTTAAAGCAAGAGTCATAAAACCTCCTTGCAGAAATTGTCCACACAACTGTCCTTTAAAAATTTCAGAAGAAATAAGGATGTCTTTATTCAATCGATACTGGGAACTTGGCAGTATAGAAAAGCAGCGAGATTTTGTGGTTCGTCACTCAGCTGAAGTAAAACCTCAGTATCGTTATGCCAAAGAAAATTCTAGAAAATTGAATCATGCCTTCTATTTTGAAGTGAATAATTTGCGACTTCGAGTATGTAAATTTTTTTTATGGCTACATTGGGAATCAGTAAACGCGCAATTTCGACGAGTTTCCTTAAAAACGAGGCTGGGTTCGTTCAGCCAGACCGGCGTGGTAAACACACTAATAGAAAAGTAGTTGATGTTTCTATTAAGAACGACATGAGAGCACACATTGATTCAATCCCGAAAGTGGATAGCCACTATACAAGAGCTAACACCACAAGGCATTTTATCGAAGGAGGTAAGTCAATATCGCAAATCTATCGTGATTACGTTGAGAAATGCAGACAACAAGGCAAACATTTTGGAAATCAGACGATGTTTTCACGTATTTTCAACCAAGAATACAATTTGTCATTTTTTACGCCCAAAAAAGATCAGTGTCAATTTTGCACAGCGTTTCAAAACTACAATGAAGAACTTCGAGAAAAGAATGCAGAAGAACTCAAGCGACATCATCAGGAAAAAGACTTGGCTCGAAAAGAGAAAGAGATGGATAAAACTCAATCGGCAGCAGATGTTATTGTAGCAACATACGACTTACAAGCAGCATTGCCTACTCCTAAAGGAGAAGTTTCAACGTTTTACTACAAGTCGAAACTCTCTACGTACAACCTAACTGTATTTGACTTGAAAACAAAACAAGCTATTTGTAATGTCTGGCACGAGGGTGATGCCCACAGAGGTGCCAATGAAATAGCTACATGCATTTTTAAATTTATTGAAGAGAGAGCTATGAGCGCAGAAGGAGATATAGAGTTCATTTTCTTCACCGACAACTGCTGCGGACAACAAAAAAATAAATTCTTGTTGAGCATGTACATGTACGCCATTACACAGTTCAGTAATATAAAAAGCATCTCCCATAAATATTTGATCTCCGGGCACACTCAAAACGAGGGTGATTCGGTTCATTCAACGATTGAGGCGGAATTAAGGAGGACTCGAAAAACTGGACCCATTTATGTGCCGGCCCAGTACTACCAGCTAATGAAAAGTGCGAAAAAGACATCTCCACTGTATCGTGTAATAGAATTTGCATTCAACGATTTTATCGATTTCAAGGATTTGGCAGGAAAAATCGGCAAAAATTTTAATAAGAATATTGATTCTGATTCCTTTTCATTCTCAGACATCAAAATAGTAAAAATTGTCAGAGAAAAACCTTTTGAATTCCTCTACAAATTATCATACTTAGATGACTTCAAGACTGTTAATATTTTCGATGAACATAACCAAAAGAAGCTAAAATTGCGCAAGAATTGCAACCAGTTGACTACTACTGATAAAATTAATGTAATAAAAAACTGGCCAAAAAAAGCGGCGTATGACAAACCGGTGGGAATATCTGAGAACAAGAAAAAAGATTTGATGTCTCTAGTCTCTGACAATCTCATTATCTCTACCTATCACAGTTTTTACAAAGACTTATTAATTAATAAGGCAGTCAAATGAAGTGATCCTAGTGTTATGTTTAGCTACCAAGTTTGTGTACCCCATTAATTAATAATACACACAATTTTTCTGATGCTTGGCCTCTTGAAATTTCTTTGTGAACATTATAACTTTTTAATAAAACTATTAAACTACCGTCTACTTTTTATTCATCATTTCTATTTATGCTGTTACTCTTTAAATGGGATATCAGAATGAGTAGATATTTCATAATAATGAAATAATTCTGGCAACAATACTGGAACAACTCAAAATTTTTTCAATTAATTGCTAATTATTAAATCGAGTGATAGCACAAGATTGCTAAAATGAACTGAAAAGCAATCTTTGACATCAACTGAAACAAAGAACATAGTTTTAGTCAAAAACGTATATAACTCAAAGCATAAAATGGCTGTACAAAATTCCAAAAACTTTAAACTCGATTTTCTCGAAACACGTTTTTTTGAGTTGTCCCGGTATTGTTGCCGGAAGGCGATTTGTTAGGCCGTTGGCTTTCCAGGCCGCTATTCTTATTTACTTTGCCATAAATTTGATATTTTGCTTATGACTGTTGTTAGTATGTCGAGGATCATGCTGTTCTGATTAAGCACTTATTAAATAACATTTTAAATTCGTTTAGGAAGCCTGGCATTAGCGTGGGTATATATTTATTATTCCTGTTTTCATTTTTTCTTTGGAGATTTCCTGTAGCGGCTTGGGAATAACTACCTTTTTATGTGATTAGCTGCTGCACTGTATTTTCTGGGTTGGACGCTGTATTGTAGTCTGAGTATGTTTTATATGTTTTACTTACATTATTTCCAGTGTTATATACAGTGCAAACTCTGTAATTGGCTGGATGGCCGAGGTTATTTTAATGCAATAAATAAGACTAATAGTTTTTTTGTTAGTTGTTATATGTTAATAGTAAAAAAATCTTTATTGTTTTTATCTTTCTCATTATTGTAGTTTAAATTTTATTTATGTGTAGGTATAATAAATGCCAAAATGTATATTTTTGCAATAGTTAACATAAACATTAAGGCAGATCGAAAGGATCATCAGTAATAATTTTATATAAATTCCGATAACTAGGCGTTGTACTTTATGCTGTTCATTTAATTACACTTCACTCAAAAAAACTGTTGCATCCATTATTCACTTAACTCATGCATAAACAAAATTTAAAAATAAACACAATCTTGAAAAATTTATAGAAATCATTTATTAAACTGTTCCCATAACATTCTTAGAACAAATAATGATTATTTTAAATATCCTTCTTTTATATAAAAAATATGCACGTTACCAGCTACAATGACTTTGTTGTTTGTTTCAGTGACGGAGGTGAGAAGGTATAGGGAGCTCAGTGCTAACCATAATATCATACAACTTTCACAGTTTTATTTTACCTCTGTTCTAGTCACAGAAACAAAAATCATAAAATTAAGCCGCTTATAAATCTACAATAAAAGTCAAAGGGTAAAAAGATAACAGTACTGTTCCATTTCTTGAAAACCACTTTTATTAAAATCAGTAAACAGTAAAACAATTATTTGATAAGAACTTTAAGTAAATGACAGAACTATTCAAAAACTCAATTACTACTGTTACTTTAACTGTCAACTTCTTGTTTATATACATTTTTGACGTGTCAAACTTTACGAGACATTTCTGGATGAAATCTGGAAAACTAACATATTCTGGATTTTTAATACTTTTGAAGCAAAGCTTCTATTCTGGCGTTGTATTACTTTTTTCTCTATAATCAAATGCCGAGGTGAGCGTCACAACTCTGCACTTCTGCCAGCCGTTCCTTCAATCCGTGTGTAAAAAGATCCAATATTCTGTAAACTGTGGATTCCGAAATTATGAAAGCGAAGTGGCCGCTTTACACCAAACTGTACATGTTGGGATATGGCACAGGGGCAGTATCTTCTTTAACTCAAAAGAGAGGCATTCCTTTTCCAGGTCATTTTTAGCTTCTTGAAGATGTTTATTGTAAGTTATTAACTGACTCCAGGTCTTTTTAATCCAAACCTTTCATCTGCGCAGATAATTTAATACAGACACTGCACGTATCCTTTTTTGAGCTTTTCCTTTTAGGTTGATTTTATTTAGGAAAATCACTTTGTACTTTGCACAAGAAACTAAATGTTTTCATTCCTCTGAGTAAAGTTCATGCATAACTTTAAATGTGGTATCTAGATCTAAATATTCTGATTCCGTTGTTGATCGAGTTAAATGGAAAACGTCTCTTGGAAACTTTAAGATGTGTTAAATTTCTTCTTGAATTTTAGCCTCAGAATGCTTATTCTGGCCACCAGCAAATACCCAACCATCCTTATTTTTTTTAGCTTAATCGCTCGATCAATGACTCAATTGGATGTGCTCAAGATTTGAATAAATATTGCTTTACAAACTTTTATGTCATTTAAGTAATATTCTCGGGAGGATTGTTTTTTGTTTAAATTTTTTTTTGCGCTTACGCTTTATGGCGACTTCTCTAATCAATCCTATCCAATAACGAGAAGGTGTCACCGGTAGCGTCATGAAATAGCGGTTTTGACATCGATTCACTACTCCCGATCAATTCGTTTCTAGTCCTCATATATTTATTCTAAGCAGGTTTAAATTAAAAACTTAATGAAAAATGAGTAAAAAATACAGATATTAAATGAAAAGTAAAAAATTACTAGAATATCCCTGTCAATAAAAGATTGGATTCGTACGAAGTCATAAATGTCATTGAATTAATAACAATAATTGTAACTGAGTTCCATCAGAGTGTTGATCTGATAACAATTCGACTGGCCCTCGGGTGTTGACAGAAGGTTAACTGCTTCTGCTAGAGTGTTGATCTAGTGGCAGTTTCGTACCTGGTCTTGGAGCATTGATATGAGACAGACCTATTCTTTTGCGTGGCTAAGTGTTGATCAGTCACTATCCACTCCTTGTCAGACCGAGTGTTAATTGGCCCGTTCCATCTCTATTCCTCTGACTCGTCCTTCCTTTCTTCTTGCGTGTTTATTAACACATCGTAGTTATCCTTGGCATTGTATGAAATTAATTGTATTTTCATTTTTTGCAGGTATTAAAGTTGGTCACCGAGCCGAGTGTCGATGCCATCGCCATATAAAAACTGTTTTAATATAAGCTAGGAGCTCTTTTCTGGTAACGCAGTAATTCTTATGGGCCTTTTCTATTGTTTTACTAAAATATATTATAACTTTTTCTTCACCTTCGTATTGTTATGATTATACTGCCCCAATACCATGCTAAGATACGTCACAGTTCAACAAAAATTTTCCCTCTTCCCGTAGATGGGTTAGGATAGATGCTAATGTAAGTCGCTTTTTCAAATCCGGTGTCCAGTCAAATTAAATGTTGTTTTCGGTTAGTAGATAAAGAGTCTTGACAATGCGGTCAAAATTTTTAATAAATTTTCGGTAATATGAACAGAGTTCAAAAAAATTCTATTTCCTTTTTATTTCCTGGTTTAAGCTCTTTCAAGAAGTTTGTTTTAGTTCGTTGTAGTTAGATAAGACTTCGATGGGCTGGACTTACAGTGAGAATGGAGACCAACGCATTACCAAATAAAGCCTTAGGTGGTAAAAGGTTGGAGGCATAGTTTGGAAAAGGCCAAGGCTGAATTTGTTCTGTAACTTCATTCGAGAGAGAAGATATTTCTTGTATGACTATGTGTCGGGCTTCTGGTTGTCAATCTAGGCCACGTTATGACCTCATTCTTTAATTCTACTTTTCTTGCCAGGAATTCGGTTCTATAATTATTTTGCGAATGTCCCATTCTTCCGGAATTCTGTTATTATTTTGCAGTATGCTTTAAGGTTTGGAATAAAATCTTTAGGTGTCTGAGGGTATGCCAAATGCAATAATCTTTTAATATCGGCTTAAAATTCTTGCAGGCTTTTGTTACGATTTTGATGTAGAACTTTTTAGCTGACTTTGAAAAACCTGCGATAGATTCTGCTGGTTATATCTTGTCTCTAAACGAGAGGGTTATATCTGGGTGCATCCTGGGGAAGAAATTACAAGACGGTTGTTGCCTGTTCTTGAAGCGACACTACTAAGAAAACTGTCATTTTTTTCTGTCTATCCATTTTAAAAAGAAATACAACGCAGAATTTTCAAAACAGTCATCAGACCAATAGTGGCATACGTGGAAGAAACACAACCTGACACAATAAGGACAAAAGTATTGTTAGAGACAACAGAGATGAAAACTCTTAAAAAAACTTATAATAAAACATTATGGGACAGAGCTAGAAGTACAGATACACGATGGAGATGCAAGGTGAAAAACATCAAAGACTGCGTAAGAAACAGAAGAGTAGAATGTTACTTCCATATAAGCAAAATGATAGAGTCATGTCTAGAAATACGGACAGAGTCATGAAGAAAAGCTGAAGACAAGAAACATGATTATTCAAAACCTCTGAGAGGATACCTAGGGAGGAACACACTTCACTCTTCGTATCAGTGCTTTACCACTTATTTTATAGGCTCCTGAATATTATGCTCCATGCTCCATATATAGCTCAGACATTAAAAAACTGGACATTAATCGATTTCATTCTAGAAAATCGTTCACAAAAACATAAAGAATCTGTGTAGAAGAGCCATTCAGCAAGCATTACTAATGCATTATCTGAACGATATCCTATCTACCCTCAGTAAACTGCAAGGGAAACTAAGAGTATTGACAATATTTTATGGATTCGACCGTTACTTGATGGAAATTCATTTTATGTAACAATAAAACACTGAAAACTTTGTTTTCAAACTTCCACAAAATTTATTTTAACTATTAACACTACACCTGTTTCGGCTGATTGCCTTTCTCAAGTGATCTATTTTTGGCATGCGTTTACAATTTATAGTCTCTAATGAAATAGGTTGAGGAGGGGAAAACTGTTTGTCTCAAGTTGGTCATTCAGAATTATATCTGTGTTTTTTAATTTATTGATTTCCATAGATTCTAACAAAGATAGCTTAAGGCCTTTATTTTGAATGTGAAGAATTTTAAATTTGTCATTAAAAGAATGATTATGATCTAGAAGGTGAAGTGCGTATGTCGAATCTGTTTTTTCTATTATTGCAAGCCCTTTTATGTTCTGCTATTCGTTTGTTAAAGTTGCTACCAGTTTTACCGATGTGAGTTTTTGGGTACACCACTATTTAAGTGTTTTTATTTTGGCTCTTGTTATTTTTAATATATTTGCCTAGGTTTCATAGTCAATTCACTTCATAGTCATATTGAATTTACAATAGAAACAGAACAAAATCGATCCATAAATTTTTTAGATATAAAAATTATCAGACTTAAAAACAAACATGACTTCTCCATATTTCATAAACCTACACATACTGACACGACTATACATAGCACCAGCATAAACTGGCAGCTTATCGTAGTATGTTACATAGATTAACAGAAATTTCGATGTCAAAATACAACTTTGAGACAGAATTAAATATAATTAAGCAAATAGCAGTAAACAACAGATACAACGAACAAACAATTAATAAAATGTTAAATCAAAAACTACACAAGAAAGCCCTGAAATTAGTATTTTCACCACCAGAGAAAAAACCCAGTACCTTCTGCTCGATTACATATACAGGCAAAATAACAACAAAAATAGCCAAACACATAAAAAAGAAAGGAATAACACTAGCTTTCCGAAGAAATAAAAACCTAGGCAAATATATTAAAAATAACAAGAGCCAAAATAAAAAACACTTAAATAGTGGTGTGTACAAACTTCAATGTGGCGACTGCCCAAAAACTTACATCGGTCAAACTGGTAGAAACTTTAATAAACGCATAGCAGAACATAATCTTCTTCTAAACTTCAATAATAGAAAAACAGATTCGACATACGCACTTCACCTTCTAGATCATAATCATTCTTTTAATGACAAATTTAAAATTCTTCACATTCAAAATAAAGGCCTTAAGCTATCTTTGTTAGAATCTATGGAAATCAATAAATTAAAAAACACAGATATAATTCTGAATGACCAACTTGAGACAAACAGTTTTCCCCTCCTCAACCTATTTCATTAGAGACTATAAATTGTAAACGCATGCCAAAAAATAGATCACTTGAGAAAGGCAATCAGCCGAAACAGGTGTAGTGATAATAGTTAAAATAAATTTTGTGGAAGTTTTATTTATTAGTGTTTTATTGTTACATTGACAATATTGTTAAAAAACGTCCTACAAGATCCTATTATATCCAGTTTGCGACTTCAGAGTCAATAGATTGTATTATCAGACTTGATGTTTGTTTGTAACCCTTCAAAATTTGTTAGATTAGTGATTTTTATGTTTTTTATATCTATTGTCGCAATTATCATACGATAAGTAAAAAAATAAAAAAAAAAAATTATGTTTATGTTTTATTAGTTGATATTCTCAGTGTTCGTTATTAATTTTCTTCTCATTAATCTATTACATCTTCTCCCAATTTATTATGTCTTTCCAAGCTTCGTGTTCAGAGTTTGAACGCTAAGATACTTAGTGATAAAAAAAGAAAAATGTTACATAAAATCAATACAAAATTACGTTAAATTCTGTAAACATGGTATATTTATTATTATTATTATTATTACGTTTGCTTTAAACACACTTTACTTTGAATGATTGTAGAATCAGAATGATTTCTTGATGTACCTGTATGGTTTTACAATATTTTTCAAAGACATACCACTTTATGTTTTGTAAGCAATGCGTATCAGTTATTTCATAAAAACATAAAAATTGTCGATAACGTAATTAGCATGTTAAAATAAAACTCTTGTACTCCCGCCACTGGTTTATGCACCTTCCGCTTTAGCCAAACAATCCTTGCCCCCACCTGCTAATTTCCCACGTGCTAAAGCTTACATTATTATACATATTGTTCACATAGTTCATACCCAGTAGTTTGCATTCAAAAAAATTAGAAACATGTGTGATATCAGTGTTGTCAAGAAGACACCATTTGTGATTGTCTATTTTGTAAATTTTCAATTAATTCTAGCTCAAATAAGCCTGCCCCCCGCGTTCATACCCAACGATCAACGCCGAGATCCTTATAATAATGACGGTAGGGGTTTTTCGAGTTCAACACATTTTCCGCCCTACAGTTCTACCCCTTATCCTCCTAGAGACTTCGCGTACAATCCTAACGACCCCCGAAACGACTACAACCAAAATTTCGGACAAAGACCCAGTGATCTACCCCCGAGTTTTGTCCCTAAGACTAACGTAAACAGTCCTCAAAATTTTAACAATCGACAGGGCGACTTTTCTGCCCAAAGACCTATCAATCCTCAGAATTTCGGTGGTAGGTCGTTTGACGACGATTTTAACAGGAGAAATAGGGTCGATGGAGATATTAGAGGATTGTTACAGGCTTTGGATATTCAGGCTTCTCAAATGTGCACAAATAACGTGGCTGCTCAATGGAATTTTGAAACCAACATCAATGAGGCTACTCAGTTGGAAGCTGTAAGTATAAATATTTTTAATAGAACGAATTTTTATTGTTTCTTTCCTTGTTATATAGTTTTTAACACTTTTTAAGTTTTTCAACATTTTTTTTTGTTTCTATTAAGGGATTAAGACAGTTGTTTCACTTTTTGTCGTACTTTTTTATTTTTACTTTTTTAATTAATTTTATCCTAATTTTTATTTATTTTAGTTATATATTGTTAACTCTTTGTTTATTTGTTATAAGTTTTTGTCTTTGATTTTCAAAATTATTTTAAATAGCCTATTTGGTTTATACCTTTTTTAAGTCTTAATTATTTCATTAATTATCTAGTTTCTCTAACTCTCTATTAATTTTTGCTTAAATTTCGATTTGGTTCAGATATTACCAATTTTTTTAATCATCACTTTTTAGGACATTTCTCCTTATTTTTTATTTGCCCGTGTATTAGTAGTTTTTTTATTTTGCCCTCTGATCTTTATTTTTTGCATTTTATTGTACTCTAGTCATTAGAGACGAAAATGCCACTAGGCTCTAACAATGAACGTTCAATGAAAGTGATAAATTTTATTAATCTCTTTAGATTCGCAAAAAATGGCATAATTCACTAAACATTCATTTTTTAACAGCTTTATGGAAACTGGCTTTATTTGCGGTAAAATGCAAAAATTGGACGCAAAAGCTACAATCTTCACGTTTAAAATAAAACGCATTTTGATTTTTATCGATAGGACTCTTTGATAAAAAAAATACAGAATTTTTTCGATAAATATCGAAAAAATATTGAAATTTATTTTAAATCATTTATTTCGTGAGTCTAACTGACATCCAAAATAGTAGTTTCAAGCGTTTTTTCTGAGAGAAGGGTTCATTTTACACAAAAAGTGCTAACATTTTTGTTCAGAATTATCTCAGCTATCTTTCTTAGTCGAAAAATTTTTTTGTACAACGTGCAGATTTTTGGTAAATCGATGGTTTTTCGTTTTAAGCCCCTACAAGGTTGGGTTTTAAGGGGAAGACCGGGGGTAAGAGTGGCAATTTTTTTTACATCTTTTTTGGGGTCCCAAAATTGACATTCTCGGCAAAATTCAACTTATTTCGACGATTAGACTTTTGTTTCTATTCTCTTTTTCGTTTATTCGTTTTTTATGAATTATTTCATATGATTTTGCCTTTATATTATTTAGTATCCCTTACTGCCCCTTTTGTGTATATATTTTTCGTTTTTTATCATTTTTTAATTTCGTTTTCCAAAAGCAACTTTTCCAATGCTATATCTTTCCCTTGTATGATTGAGTACATTAATAAAAAAAGAAAACCTTTATAAACATTATTCAATATCATATATCTCTATTTAACTAAAAGGTTATTTAAATCAGCATAATTTTCAATGCTACCTCTTAATAGCTTCAAATGTGTAAAAGAATGAGAATTAAAAACAATAATAACATTAAAATACAATATAAACGGAAATAATAAAAAGTCTGATTCTCACATTATTTGAGTTTGTCAATGAACTACATGTCCACTAGCCAGTGCCCCCCTTCAAGGCCGCAGAAACACCATTTTTGGTTAAAATAATATTGTGTAAGGCAAATTTGAAGACATTAACACAACAAATATAGCCAGATAATCAATGCCATCATAATCATTACATAGCTCAAATTGGAGCTACAATAGGCATTTTAAATGAAAAATGTACAAATCAGTGTCATAGAAAATCAGAATCAATTGAATAGTCCTTTATTGCAGTTATCAATAACCAAGTAGACCATAAATCAGATTTGGTTCTTCTTTTTCTTCTTCTTTTTATATAGACATGACTCTGTATGTTTCGAACTAATTCTAAACAAATATCTTACTTGGCATTGTTAGAATCTCTTGATTAATAAGCAACATGGATTTAGGCAAGGTAAATCTACATTGACAAATCATTTGTTTTGTATCATGATTACATTATTAGGGCTTTCGAGGTTGGGTACCAAGTGAACTACATGTTTGCTGATTTCTCGAAGGCCTCTGACACAGTAATCGATTCTTTACTAATCTTTAAATTAAGATGTATTGGCTGTCCTGAGTGGTTGCTTTCATGGTTAAGTAGTTATCTTGATGAAAGAAGTTTCATCAGTTTGTTTTTATTAAAGATTCACATGTGGGTCCTCTTCTCTTTAATTTGTGTATTAATGATATTTCTGAGGTAATAAAGGTTTGTCAGTTTTTGCTATTTGCTGATGACCTTAAGTTATATTTTAAAGTTTCACGTCTATTTGATTGTCTAAGGATCTAGGAAGACCTTACGTCCCTGTACAGTTGGTCTCTTTAAAATGGTCTCCAGTTAAATAAAGATAAGTGTTTTGTTATGTCCTTTAGCACATCTAAAAATAATTTTGTGTTGGACTATCACATTAATACAAGCTTTCTATCAACAGTGACTAAAATAAAAGATTTGGGAGTGGTATTTGACAGTTTCTTGTCATTTATTTCCACATCAACAATTTTTCAAATAAAGCTTACCGAAATCTAAGTTTTATCACAAGAAAATCTCGAGATCTTTCAGTATCCACATATAGAAATTTATATCTTACTTTCGTCCGTAGCATCCTGTCTTATGCTTCTATAGTATGGTCAATATACTATTTTAAACTTGAAAAAATTCAAAATAAGTTTCTTCGGATTTGTGCTTATAGATTAAACTTACGAAACATGTCTACAGTAGAACTACTAAGGTCAAGGCTAAATATCAGTTCCTTAGAAGACTGCAGAACTAAATGTGATCTAGTTTTTCCCGATAAACTACTTGACCATACCACTAACTGTTCTGATTTATTAAGTCTTATCAACTTTAGATGTAACACTAGAATTCTTATAGACATGCCTTTGTTTTCTATAAAACACTATCACACTAAATATGGCAAATTATCTCCTATTAACAGGATTTGGATCCTGGGAAATGACTAGCCAATCTCATGATCTGGTGATACTCGAATCCCTACATAATATTAATTAAAAAATTTTTTTTACCTTTGTTTTCTCTCCTTTATATATTTAATCCTATTTACCGTGGCCTAAAAAAAATAATTCACAGCAGAATTGTCAAAGCTCTTGAATATGAAATTAGTGATACACAATTTGGCTTTAGAAAGGGTATGAGTACAAGAGATGCTTTGTTCGGCTTGAATATGCTGGCTCAGAGATGCATGGGCATGAATCAGGACATGTACTTTTGTTTTGTAGACTTTGAAAAAGTATTTGATAAGGTTCAACATAAAAAGGTTGTAGATATATTAAAACCAAAAATATTGACAGTCGTGATATGAAAATTATAACTAATTTATATTGAAATCAAACTGCCAAGGTAAAAGTTGACAGCCAGTACACCCAAAATATCAAAATTCAGAGAGGAGTCTGCCAGGGTTGCGTGCTGTCCCCACTATTTTTCAATATCTACAGTGAAGCAGTATTTCAAAAAGCGCTCTCAGACTCAACAGAAGGTATATCTATAAATGAAGAAATTTTGAATAACTTAATGCAACGCCTTAATGAACGCTGTCATGAGTACGGACTGAAGATAAATTTAAAAAAAAACTAAAGGCATGATCATGACTAAATCTGCACATGCAAGTATCCAATTAATTATTGAAGATACTGCAATTGAGAGTGTTAATAACTATAAATACTTAGGAACATGTATAACATCAGATGTAGACCAAACAAAGAAATTAAGACACGTATTGAAATAGCACGTGCATCATTCATTAAACTTAAAAAGTTTCTTTGTTGTTGGGATATAAGGTTAGAACTACGCCTGAAAATGTTTCGATGTTACGTGTTCTATACTCTTCTTTATGGCTTGGAAGCATGGACACTAAAACAAGTCCATCTTAATAAGTTGACCGCCTTTGAATTTTGGTATTACAGAAGAATCCTACGAATATCATGGATTAAAAGAATGTCAAACAAAAAGTGGAAGTAACTAGAAGGATAGAAAATGAGGCGGAAATAATATTAACTATCCAAAATCGTGAATACAATTAAACAAAGAAAGCTTGAATATCTAGGCCACATATTGAGACACGATAAGTACCTTCTACTGCAATTGATGGTCTAGGGAAAAATAGACAGTAAGCGAAGGCCAGGCAGGAAAGACACTCGTCGCTCCAAAATCTGCGGAAGTGATTCGGGTGCACATCGGTCGAACTATTCAGAAGCGCTGCAAACAAGATCAGAATTGCCATGTTATTAGCCACCGTTCGCAACGGACAGAGACTTAAAGAAGAAGAAGATCAAAAGACGAAAACTTGAGTACTTAGGACATGTGATGAGAGTGCAAAAATACGCATTATTACAAATTATTATGCAAGGCAAAATCCGAGGAAAGCGAAATGTGGGAAGACGAATAATATCTTGGCTTAAGAACCCAAGGGAATGGTTTGAATGCAGTAGTGCAGAACTTTTTAGAGCGGCAGTCAACAGAGTCCGCGCATAGCCATGATGATTTCCAACCTTCGATAGAAGATGGAACTTAAAGAAGAAGACCGTGGCCTAGTTTTCCTGTATATGTTATATATTATAATGTCCTGATGGGGCCTTGGACGTGAAGCGAGTGACCCATGTTAATTGTATGTGTTTATGGATATATATGTGTATGCATATATATTTTTCTCTTCTCTTCATTAATTATTGTACTGATTTCTTAACTTTAAATTTATCTATTTTAGTCTATTTGATTGCAAATAATTCAAAAACTTTTTACTGCGCCTAATGAGATTAAAAGATCATGTAACTGGCTGTATGGCAAACTGCCGAAGCCATTTAAAAAAAAAGGATCTGGTGGATATAAAATCTGTAAGATTTAAGCACTGTTTGACTGAGTATGTTAGGAAGCAAAGTTAAGGGACATTGGGGTGAACTTGGAGTATTAATTTCATTTCATTTTATTAAGACCATTTCATTTTATTTTATTTTATTAATATCATTTCATTTTATTAAGATCTCCAGGAAAGTTAATTTAATTTAC